ATATATTTGAGCTATACTTGTGTTCCTAGAATCCGTGTTTTCATTGTTATACTGTAGGGGGCGCTAGTGCACAAGTGAAGAAGAAACCGAAACAACAGATGCTTCCACATGTAATCTAACACGATCATCAGACATAAAACAGCATCAAAACTGTGTAACGTAATGGAATAAAATGTCGACCAATGAAGAGGTAATAATAACTGTCAAGCTTTGGGGTGTTGATCGACTTTATCTACGTTTTGATTATCATTCTGAATCCAATTCATAGTCTTTTTTCAGTTTTTTGTTCAAAATGTTGTTTATTTCTTTATTTTTTATTTATGAAACTTATCCACATTCAAGTGTTTAAATTTTTTTGTTTACATGCAGATACCCTGTTCTTTTGATGTTTTGTATGTTCAGATATTCATATAACAAAATATATACAAATTAATACCTAAATAGGGACATAGTAGTATACTTAAAATATGATGTAAAGTTCACTTAAAGAAAACTTACGAGTATACTTGTAGTATAAAACTACTAAACTAGTAGTTTACTGAGACTATACTTCAAAGTGTACTAAAAATGCTACTACAAGTATTTAATTAGTAAACTATCAGTATACCTATAAGTTCACTTTTAGTATAGTTGCAGTACAAACTAAACATTTTGATGTAAACTAGTGTACTCAAAGTTTACTACTGTTATACTTAAAGTATACTTAAAAGTATACTTTTATATACTAGAAAGTGGGCCAATTTAGTCCCAAGGAGTATTGAAATAGTACACTTACAAGTATACTACTAGTACACTGATATTTGTATACTTACTACATAAAGTATACTTAAAAATATACTTGAACTTTACTTAAGTATACTTGCTAAAATAAACTTGAAGTATACTACTTTTTGGTAAGGGACATGTTTTCCAGGTTACTTTGATGAATTGAAAGAGTATAGCGTCAAAAGAGTAGCACAACATTACAAATGCATTTATTGTCACTTTTGATCAGTTGAATGCATCCTTGCTGAATACAAATATTAATTTCTTTTAAAAAATCATACTGTCAAGGCCAACAAAGAACATTTAATGCATTGTTTTAGTTTTGAAATTATCATTAGGCTATATTTTAAAAATGTACCACTTCAGCAGAAATCTGAAAACCACATAGGCTACATTTCGAGCACACAGTCTCTCACACAGTCTTTGTTTGTTTTGCAAACATCTGGCTCTCACAATGCACACTGGCTGTCTTAAGGCCAAGAGTCTTCACTCAGCTCTTTGCTGTTATGTAACTGACACTGTTCTTTTAAAACTACTGAAGCATGCAAATGATCTGCTATGATATTGATTTTAGGATAAAGCAGTCAAGTCGTGTTATTATTGTGATGCTGTGCTGGCAGTTTGCTCAAATGCCAACAAAACTAAACAAAACATGAAGACAGAATCAAGCTTATTGTGTGTAAAGATGCATTTCTGCTCCGTTTGAACAAGCAAACATACAGATACATTCCTTTCAAAGTAATCCATTTCACCTTAAAAGTAAAGTAATCCCATACTCCGCAAGGGTCAATAACACTGCATTAATATTTAATGCTTGCCCTAGATCCTGTCACAGAACAGTGCTAATCTAGCTCTGTTCCATAACCTACTGAGCCACACAGCATTCACGCAGAACGTTGATTTTGTTTTCTTCCAGCGTTCCAGGCATGAGCTTTATGAATCTCTGAACCATTTGCTTCATAAAATGATTCACTGTTTCGATGTGTCCGAAACCCCAGGCTGGTAGCAACTGCTGTTCAAAACTTTGTTAATGCAGCCCAAAAATGTATAACGACACATGTATTTACAAAGCGATTGCAAATGTTTTCATGAATGCGTAATCTATTAAATGTAATCTACTGTACAAATAATTGAATAGCTTTACATATTAAAAGTTCTGTAAAATTCGTGTTTTATAGTGTTATTAGGCAGGGTTTGGCAAACTAGATCAATTAAGCAATAAATATCATTCTCCTTTTGTATTATAGACACATCGCATGCATATTTTAATTGATTGAATTCATTAATTAAAAATGAACATACAGCTGCGAACCTTCAGAATTTTGAAATGTTTCGAAGCTTAAAAGTGAAGCTAAAGTTAAATAGGCCTATATATAAAACTATTTCAATATGGAAAGCAACTATAAAGTATACAGTATTTGTATCAGGTACAGTTCTGCCTATGCAGATCATTGAAATGCTTTCGCTTTTCACTTTTCAAATGAACTTTTTTATTAATCTGCACTAGGGATGCACCGATACCGATACTGGTATCGGTATCAGGCCGATACTGAGCTCCTGTACTCGTACTCGTACTCGTTAAAATGCCCCGATAATTCAGACAAAGAAACACCGACAACACTCGGTATCGGCAAGTACCAAAAATAAAAGTATCGGTATCGGGCGAGTACTAGAAAAAGTGGTATTGGTGCATCCCTAATCTGCACATATGACTGCTGTCATCATGTCAAATATTGTGAAAGTAGGCTACAATTCATTAATCCAATTCATTTACGTTTACGAGTATTTAAGGACTAAATTAGTAACCTTGTCTTTATTATGCGCATTACTGTTTTTAATTGTTCTGATACTTCACCAATTTATTTCGAGAAAAAAACTGTTGTCTCATAATGATGCATTTGCGGTTTCCATGGTGCACGTGCTGCAGCAGTCCTGTAGAGAGCGCTGTCGAGCGAAGGCTGAGGGAGGAGCAGGGCTGCACCGCTGGAGACTCACCCCGGCCTTCTATGGCAAAACCCAGCTTTCTCATTGAGAAGGCCATGAGTCACCAGAACAACACATGCAGCAAGTACAGAGCAGAGAGTCTGCATGTATCTTCAGCAAGGTAAGCTGGAACGCCTTTTGTTCGTATTTATTTCTGTTGCTGAGCAGTATTTATGATAAACTACATATAGGAATATTTAAAAGAATTTAACGAAATATTAAGATGTATTACTTTCTTATTCAGTTGGGAAATTCCGATGTTTGTTACATTTCATTCGTGAGAGTGGAAGAGGGTCGTGATAGTTTGTTTTTAGGCTAAACTCTGTTTGCACTTGGCTTTATTTTAAGTGATTTAGTTGAGTTAATAATAGCCAATATTTCTGGGGAAAAAGTTGCTATTGTTTTAGCATTCAACAGTACGCTTTAAGAATGTCACAAAAATGTTTGTGGCTTCCCTGCGTTCCGTCCCACCCAATAAGTGTTGGCTGTACTAGGACAGAAAAACCAAAAGTTCCCATGTAATTATATTCTTAACATGTGTTTACTGTTGTGTTTGGTGTATATTTTAGGCTATGTTCAATGATTATATTTGTGTGATTTTTAAATGGACCAACTAAGTACTGAAACTTTATGATTGACCATGTGACATGGTTTGGTGATAATAGTTTATATGATTATATAGCATATCAGATACCATCTATGTTTGCTCATTTCCTCTGTGTGGAAAATGTAACAAGCTGACTCATTAGTTTATCTCTCTTTATTCCCATTAGCTGGCATTGGTGTAATTTCATATCTCACTCCACTGAAAACTGTGGAAATATAAAATCGTAACGGCAACCGTTTCAAACACATTGAGTTTGATTATTATATAGCAATTTATGATTATTATATAAATCAAATATTTGCTTAAAGGTTTAAGACCATGTAGCCTATATGCAAAATATATTTAAAACAATGTGAATTTCACAAGCAGATTTGCTTCTAGCAAATTCTGCAGGTTGTTGTCAAGAGCACCAAAATGTATGCACCGTTTCCAAATGATAACTGTCTAGGATGGCTGATTTGAACTTCCAATTTAACCCATTCTGACCAGTATTGTCTAATTCATGTACTTTGCTGACTCATTGAGTTTAGCTCATGTCTTGGCACAAACAATGCACAGTGGCTCTGGGAAGCAAGATGAGGTAATTTCTTTTGATAAAAAGGATAAATGAGGTAGCTGGTAACCTCACTTATGGATTTGAACACCTTTTTATGCCTTTGATGTGTGTCAGATGGCCTTTCAGAATGAGATATGTGTGTGAAATCTAGCAGTCGCCTTTGTCAATACAAATTCACATGCAAGAAGAATCTGTCTCTTTATATTAATATATCACATATGTGGAATTTTTGCAGGTTTCTGTTAAGGGCACGAGGCCAAGACATTTGGGGTGCTATTCAAGTGAAGTGTAGCAGGTGGATAGAACGGTTAAGAATGCGCAAAGAGATATTTTACCCAAAAAAAATTGCCATCATTTACTCACCCTCATGATGTTCCAAGCTTTTGGGGCTTTGTTGTGAGTATTATAGTAGAAAAAAAGCTTCTATAGTTTAACATTAACAATTTTGATTTGCATTTTTGTAGCATCTTTTCTTCATACTGATGCGCAAAACCTTTGATACTTTGGAAATATGTAAATCATAAAAAGGAATTTGCAACACAAAACCTTATGCATAGCCACATGCATGCGTTGACCGAAACCTCCAAGGAAAATTGACACTATCATTTGTATTTCCACTTAAACGATCAGCTTTTGTTGTTTTTGGATTCATGTCAATTGATAAACGAGTTTCTCATTACCAACAATAAAGTTGCGCAACATGACATTGAGGAACCTACGGTAATACAACGGCATTCCGACTGAACAAAAGCTGAACAAGTTTTTGCATAAGATAGCTTAATAACATTGCATGAGAAGAGGTTCCATATTAGCATGAGATGACATATAAGTACAGATTTTATTGGGCTGACTGAATTAATTACAGAAGATTGCTGCTTGGTTTCCAATGAGATCAGCTGGTATTGCTGATTTTTACTGTATGGATGTGCATCAAGCACCTTCTGTAAACTTCAGTTCTGCACCTGAAGGGTTTATGGATGTGTGTGTATGTGTGTGTCATGGTGCGTTCAAGTCATGTCGGATAGACCGTATTTAAGAGTTGAATGCACATGAACGCCACCACAAAGTCGTTATTACCAGTGGGAAACTCGAAATTTTCTTTAACCCCCGAGTTTCCGAGTTGGGGCCGTGTCAATGAGAAACATGGCGGAATCCATGGATGCAGCGTCTGTAGTTGACAGTAAATTTTTGTTTAAATTGATAGTTTAGTTCTCCTATAAACTTAAATTGGTCATGTTTTTGTTACGCAGCTAGTTAATGAAATCCAAGTAAAAAAAATGCTATCATTTTTGCACCTATGTCAACTCGTAAGTACGAACGTCCCAGGAGAACTTGAACGCAGCATCAGTACATGTTTACCAAGTGAAATTTAGAAGTTAAATCTTTAATTATTCCTGCCACTTCTGTTCACTTATGAATCATCAATTCACTTTATACAGTGGGGTTCCAAAGGACTTTCATTTTGCATTTTTCTAATTAAAAAAATAATAATTACAAATTAATTCATCAAATGTAACAATTTGAGTGAAAAATTAAGTATGCAAAATTATCATACATTTTAGAATGTCATAGTATTTGTTTTTTTCCCAATGTCACAAATTACCTTATTTAATCAGAGAAATCTAGAAATTGTGCAGAATCCTTTTTTTTTTTTTTTTTTTTTACAATTGTTTTTTCTCAAAATACTAAACTTCTTTTTTTGTTTATTTTTTTAATTCTTAGTTTAGATTCCCAGATTTTTTGGAACCCACTGTTTTTAGTACCATCCATCTGTTTCTGGTCTGTTAACTGTTAACTTGCTCAAGCAGATGTGCCAGACATGCTTGTACGAAAATGAACAGCAAGTGCATGTACCCTTCTAGCAAATTCCACAGGATCAGAACTTGAAGCAACACATAAGACAGAATCAGCAGCACACACAGAACAGATGAAAAGTCTGAAAAATAATAAAGTAGCTTCATATTTGATCTCTTCAATTCTTTGCAGTGTTGTTCATAACAGTTTCAGACAAACATACATTATTGAATATTTGTTGAATATTTTGAATGCATGCATACTTGACCTTGAGTTCACATAAGTTGCTTATAGTTCTTTATCACTTTAAGTGTCCATGCATTTACAGTAAACAAGCTTCATTATAGCCCAGCCTGGTCAGAACTTGTCTGTGATTTTGTCGTATCAGGTTTTCCAAAGCAAACGGCAGGGCTTTCTCCCACATTTCTCGTCTCCGTGTCCTGGCTTATGTAATGGGACACCTCCGGACTGATTTAATGCCATGGAGGCTACACTGTAAAAAAATACAGAAGCCTGCAGGTTGCATTCAATACAAAGAGTCTGTTTGAAAGTTCATGCTGTTCTCTTCAGTATTTAGAACAGCTATTTTGTGATATGGTTGAGTTGTTAGTGAATGTATAGAGATACAGGTCAATTTAGCATTGCAACAATTCCTGTTCAAATGCCTAAAACTACTTATGTATGCAAATAGGAGCTTGGTATTTCTTCATGTGAAGACCATTTCTTCCTTATTCATAAAAGCCTGACGTCAAATGCAGAATTGAATGTGTTTGTTTGTAAGTGCATGCTCATGTCTTTCATTGAGGGTAACTGTGTATCAAAGGACTGGGCCAGCGATCTAATGGCACCAAGAATAAACCATTATGCTACAAACTATTAACCAGATTCAGAATCAGTGATGACGGCAAATGCAAAGTGATGCATGACAGATGTTCAAGGTAATGAGAGGGTGTGTGCACTCAAAAAAAGAACATTTAAGTCTTGTTTGCGAGGTGCATGGGGAGTGGCAGTGCTCGATTTAAAAGTTTATTTTTCTCCCCAGAATGCACTTTTTCTTTTCATTGTCAGGCTGCATGTTTTTCTGTCAAGTTTGAAGTGTTCTTTTTCAAAACTGCTGTACTCTTGAGTATTTATGTGCCGTGCGTGTCAGTTTGCAGATTCACCCCGAGGCTGTTGTTCTTTCTCTGATCTTGCACACATACCCTTCACTCTGCCTGCGAGGATAAAACATGCCAGGGCTGATGATTTTTCAGTGCAACTTCTAAAGCTTTTATGCATATGCACATGTGTGCTGCTTTTCATGTGTGGGCACACAAAGAATTACAGAAGCACAAAGCAGATGAATACAGACGGATTTACATATCATAGGAATGAAAGTCCTGGAAATTCGAGGCAGGTGCATGGTCAAAATAAGTAAATTCATAATAAAAGAAAAAAAACCCCCGGCAAACTGCAAGACTTATATGGCCATAAGTGGTCACTAAGTTATAGTAAGTTATGTTAAATTGCATGGGCCATGCTTTTCTTTTATAACTATTTGATTGCCCTTAGAAAGAATAATTTTTAATAAATGTAAAAAAAAAACAAAAAACAAACATGTAACAATAAAATTAATGAAATGTAAATATTTAATTAATATTATCAAATTAATATGCAATTTAATACATTTTGAATATAATTTTGAAGACACCCCCCCCTAATCTTTCACTTACCAGCCCAAGACTTTAACAAAGGAACAAACAAAGAGTTGTTATATTTTTTTGATGTTTATTTTATATATAACATTATTTTTATATAATCTTTCACTTACCAGCCCAAGACTTTAACAAAGGAACAAACAAAGAGTTATTATATTTTTTTGATGTTTATTTTATATATAACATTATTTTTATATAGGGCAGAAATATATGTGGCAAGTTGGCACATTTATATTGAATTCAATAAAATAATTATATTTAGGATTTTTTTAAAACAAAATAATAAAAAAATGTATATCAGAAATAAACACGTTCAAAATTTTCAGGTCGGCAAAATTTGTTGTTGTTGCCAAGGCTGCATCTATTTGATCAAAAATGTAGCAAAAACGGCAACCATTTTCTATTTGAATGTATATTCAAATGCAATTATATTCCTGTGATGCAAAGCTGAATTTTCTGCATCATTACTCCAGTTTTCAGTGTCAAATGATCCTGCAGAAATCATTCTAAAATACTGATGTGCTGCTCAAGAAACATTTCTTATTATTATCAATGTGCTGCTTAATATTTTTGTGGAAACTGATTCTTTTTTTTTTTTTTCAGGATAATTTGATTAATCATATATTTTGATTCAAACGAACAGTTGAAATAGAAAATATTTGTAACACTATAAATGACTTTACGGTCACTTTGAATGAATTTTAATTAGTAATATACATTTAATATATTATACAGTATAATTCACATCCACAACAGCATTACAGCATTTCAATGAAAAGCTAGTCATTGTATCAGTTGTGACTTTTATTAACCTGGTCAGCAGATAATTAAGTTGACCTGTAGTGTGCTATTACATTCGTGCTGTGTGTTTAACATTTGTGGTATTTCACACACAGCAGTGACCCAGACGGCGATGACACACTAGAATAAGCATTACACTTAGACGCTAATCCCCAAAAAGGTGTTCTTATCTCTTGGATCATAAAATTCACAGAGGCAGCTCATACTAACCTGGTAAAGCCACATACAGCCACTACACCTCACATACAAGGCTTGCCATCTGTTTACACAGATGCTCTCCAGCGCGCCTCCACCCTTCACTGGTATCTGGTGTAGCTGGAAGTGGAGTGAATCAGCAGTCTGCGCGAGTGATCTCACTTTTATTCAGTATCTCTTTCTGCTGTCTGTGGTCACATCCCAGAGGATCAAACCCCTTTCTTCTCTTGTTCTCCTGCATGGACTTGACTCGGTTAGATGTAATCACTTCCTCTCGACTGTACAGAACGGATGTTACTTGATTGTCTGCAGAAACAAGCTTATTTGCAGTAAACCACAGATTAAATACATTAATAAACCTTTGTTTGCAATTGTAAATGCTTTGTCATGACTTCTAAATCAGTTTTGACATTTTGAAAGCGAGACAGTTTGATATGTATTGAGCTTTTCAAAAATAACGACTGTTTCCATAAAGGTTTCCCAAACGTTCCCTCTGTCTAGCATTGGTTGGACAAACAGGTAGTCTTGTCCCAAAACTAGTGTCACTGGTTGAGACATTGTTGATGTTTAGGGCTGGTTGTGATACTCCGACAAAAACATGTCAATGTTTTCAATAGTGTCACAGTGTTTATGCTCTTTCTGGGAAATCGGCCTACTAATACCGTACTCATTCTTGTCTGCATATTAAGCTAGGGTATCAGAAAAGCTATTTAGCACGGAAAAGATTACATCACCTTTAAATTGCCGGATTAAGTACTCAATTACGTAATATGATGTTTTCCCCCATTCTTTTTTTTTTTTTTGAGCTTTCACTTCTCTATCTTTCATTTTCACAATGTCTCATAGCCTTAAAGTAGGATTTTTGTCTGCCATAGAAATAAAGGTGTACATATGTTTCCATTATCCTCATTACATGGGACTGTTTGCTGTGGAGATTACATAAACATAATTGGGCTTTTATTTTGTCTAATTGCCGGTTTGTTCCGGTGTCTTTTGGAAACATGTCTCCCTCCTAATCCCATTTTCTCTAATTATCTGTTCTTCACACCCTCATTCTTTTCTCTTTTTTTCCACTTAGAAATATCGCAGCAGTCACTGCACAAACAGAAAGATCGCAGGAGTCACTGCACAACTACAGAATCGGATCGTCGAGACTTCCTATAAGAAATCTTATAGGTATACACTTTTTCCTCCATATACAGACAAATATATATATATATATATATATATAAGGCACTTGTATATCCAGAATAATTATTGAAGAGTTTTTTCTTTTGTTTATATGTAGGTCCCATTATACCTTCCATATTTAAACCAATTTTCTGCAAATTTTCAGATGCCTTTAATGTATAGATCTTATTGACTATGGAACTATGAAAATCTGTAATTAAAATATTATTTTTTATAAATATATTATATTTAATCTTAAACCATTACAATATTTAATATTTGATCTTACAACATGTGACAACAAAGGCATCTATAATGTAATAAATAATTTCTATTTCAGATAAATGCTGTTCTTTGAACTTTCTATTCAACCCTTTCTATTGATTGTAACAAAGAATTCAAGTTGTTTAAAAATTAAGCTAAAAGCACAACTGTTTTCAACATTGAAAATAATAATAAATGTTTCTTGAATCAAATTTGAATTATTTGAATTAT